CCCCGAATCGTGACAAGCAGACTCTGGACTATTGTTGCTGATTTTACTTTTTCTAGAAGTTTTTTGGTTCTGTCTTCTAAAAGTGAGATCCAATTTTTGTTCATGTTGATGTGTGCCCCTAAGTAGAGATGAGCGAACCCGAACTTCCCGAACAATACGATTTTTGACCCCGAACCCAGACATTTCAATGACCGTTCGAGTTCGGTGTTCGGTGATTTAATGGCGCGTTTTGAAAAGCTGCAGGGCAGCCAATCAACAAGCGTTTGACTTGTGTGCCCTTAGAAGCCATCACAGCCGTGCCTACTAATGGCATGGCTGTGACTGGCCAGTGCAACATGTGACCCAGCCTCTATATAAGCTGGAGTCACATGAGCTCTTATTAGTGTAGGGAGAGGATGCTGCAGCTGCGAGGGACAGATTAGGAAAGAATTCTGGTGTTGAATCTGCAACCTACAGCGATTATTTTTGTGGGTGCTATACTACATTTTTGTACCCTGCCCTGAGCCCAGTGCCACAGAGAAATAAACAATCAGTCTATTTGTTAGGTGGGCACTTGCAACTGCATGTGTGCCAGGCACATTACTTTAATCCTGTTCTGGTAGCTCAGTGGGCAACATCTAGGCATTTTTAAATACTGCTGTGACATTACAGTTTGACAAATTCAAATTTTTTTGTTGCTAAAAAGTAAATTTGGGGCGTGCACTTCATATCTGAGAGTCAAATAGAACCATCAAATACTGTGGTTACATCGCACTTTGAAAAATTCACATTTTTTGGATGCTTAATCGTAAATTTGGGGCGTGCACTTCATATCTGAGAGTCAAGTAGAACCATCAAATACTGTGGCTACATCGCACTTTGAAAAATTCACATTTGTTTAGTGCTAAAAAGTAAATTTGGGGCATGCAATTTATATCTGAGAGTCAAGTAGAACCGTCAAATACTGTGGTTACATCATAGTTTGATTAATTGAAATTGTTTTGGCCTTAAAAGCAAATTTGTGGCGTGCACTTCATATCTGAGAATCAAATAGAACCGTCAAATACTGTGGTTACATCTCACTTTGAAAAATTCAAATTTCTTTGGTGCTAAAAAGTACATTTGGGGCAGGACTTCATATCTGAGAGTCAAATAGAACCGTCAAATACTGTGGTTACATCGCATTTGAAATATTCAAATTTTTTTGCGTGCTAAAAAGTAAATTTGTGGCGTGCACTTCATATCTAAGAATCAAATAGAACAGTCAAATACTGTGGTTACATCGCACTTTGAAAAATTCACATTTCTTTGTTGCTGAAAAAAGTGCATTTGGGGCGTGCACTTCATATTTGAGAGTCAAATAGAACTGTCAAATACTGTGGTTACATCGCAGTTTTAAAAATTCAAATTTGTTTGGATCTAAAAAGTAAATATGGGGCGTGCACTTCATATCTGAGAGTCAAATAGAAACGTCAAATACTGTGGTTACATCGCACTTTGAAAAATTCCAATTTTTTTGTTGCTAAAAAGTACATTTGGGGCGTGCACTTCATATCTGAGAGTCAAATAGAACCATCAAATACTGTGGTTACATCACACTTTGAAAAATTCACATTTCTTTGGTGCTAAAAAGTAAATTTGGGGCGTGCTCTTCATATCTGAGAGTGAAATAGAACCGTCAAATACTGTGGTTACATCGCACTTTGAAAAATTCACATTTTTTGGATGCTTAAAAGTAAATTTGGGGCGTGCACTTCATATCTGAGAGTCAAATAGAACTGTCAAATAGTGATGTCGCGAACCCGAAATTTTCGGTTCGCGAACGGCGAACGCGAACTTCCGCAAATGTTCGCGAACCGGCGAACCGCCCGAAACGCCATTGACTTCAATGGGGAGGCGAATTTTAAAACACACAGGGACTCTTTCTGGCCACAATAGGGATGGAAAAGTTGTTTCAAGGGGACTAACACCTGGACTGTGGCATGCCGGAGGGGGATCCATGGCAAAACTCCCATGGAAAATTACACAGTTGATACAGAGTCTGGTTTTAATCCATAAAGGGCAGAAATCACCTAACATTCCTAAATCACAATCAATATGGATTGACACCTGACATATGACATATTGACACCTTGACATATGGATTGACACCTGTCCTCAGAGCCCCTGATGCACACGGACACAGAGCAGAATAGAGACTGGTCCCCCTACATAGGGTCACTTGGCAGATATGGATTGACACCTGTCCTAAGGATCCCTGATACACGCTGACACAGAGCAGAATAGGGAATGTTACCCCAACATCGGGTCACTTGGCAGATATGGATTGATTCCGTCCTGTTCCTACAGGAGAGAAACCTATTTGTGGTGTGTTTAGTATTGTTCTGATCAGTTTAATACCTTCCGCGTCTCCTATCAGTGGACGTGTATATGGCAGCCATTTTAGGAACCGTACACCTGGGACCCGAGCAAGGTCACCTCGTTCAACAGGCTTGCAGCTTATCCTCCAGGAAGAAGAACCCTTACCGGCTGCACGTGTCTTACCTGTACATGGAAAGCTGCTCTGGTTCCTTGATGAGCCAGCTGCCCGTGAGTTAACATGTCCCGTGGAGAAGCACTCTGTCCTGTAAAGCCTCACCAAAAAAAGGGAGTGGTGTGTTTAGTATTGTTCTGATCAGTTTAATACCTTCCGCGTCTCCTATCAGTGGACGTGTACACGGCATTGATTTTTATCTAAGCAGTAAACTTTTGCACAGCGAAGTATATTCACTGCCATTGAAAAGGAGTGCATGGTGGTGGTGTGGGCCCTCAAAAAGCTGCAACCTACTTGTATGGACAACCGTTTACCTTACTCACAGATCACATTAAATTTGGGGCACTGCGCGGTCAAGCTAATGTGACACCAGATAGGAGCGGTGTGTTTAGTACTATTTTTATCAGTTTAATACCTTCCGCGTCTCCTATCAGTGGACGTGTATATGGCAGCCATTTTAGGAACCGTACACCTGGGACCCGAGCAAGGTCACCTCGTTCAACAGGCTTGCAGCGTATCCTCCAGGAAGAAGAGTCTGAACCCTTACCGGCTGCACGTGTCTTACCTGTACATGGAAAGCTGCTGTGGTTCCTTGATGAGCCAGCTGCCCGTGAGTTAACATGTCCCGTGGAGAAGCACTCTGTCCTGTAAAGCCTCACCAAAAAAAAGGAGTGGTGTGTTTAGTATTGTTCTGATCAGTTTAATACCTTCCGCGTCTCCCATCAGTGGACGTGTACACGGCATTGATTTTTGTAACAGGGAGATGGAAGAAGAGGCTTGGTCGGTCCTCTTACTGCAAATTTGGGGCACTGCGCGGTCAAGCTAATGTGATACCAGATAGGAGTGGTGTGTTTAGTACTATTTTTATCAGTTTAATACCTTCCGCGTCTCCTATCAGTGGTCGTGTACACGGCATTGATTTTTGTAACAGGGAGATGGAAGAAGAGGCTTGGTCGGTCCCTTTACTGCAAATTTGGGGCACTGCGCGGTCAAGCTAATGTGACACCAGATAGGAGTGGTGTGTTTAGTACTATTTTTATCAGTTTAATACCTTCCGCGTCTCCTATCAGTGGACGTGTACACGGCTTTGATTTTTGTAACAGGGAGATGGAAGAAGAGGCTTGGTCGGTCCTCTTACCGCAAATTTGGGGCACTGCGCGGTCAAGCTAATGTGACACCAGATAGAGTGCGTTTAGTAATTACTTTTATCAGTTTAATACCTTCCGCGTCTCCTATCAGTGGTCGTGTACACGGCAGTAATTTCTGTAACAGGCAGATGGAAGAAGATGCTTGGTTGGTCCTCCTAACTGGAGACTGTGTTGCTGTATGGGTGGCAGGTGGAGCCATTTATAAAGTACACACTGCTTTATAAAGCCATTTATAAAGTACACACTGGCGGCTTGAACCCAAGTTGGTGGCAGATAAGTCACGCAAGTCAACAGGCATTCAGAGCTAAAATACAGCAGCGTGTGGACCATTTTTAGCCCAAGGCAGCTCATCTCATCGGGCCTTTTTTACATAGGGTCACTTGGCAGATATGGATTGACACCTGTCCTGGGGATCCCTGATACACACTGACACAGAGCAGAATAGGGACTGTTCCTCCTACATAGGGTCACATGGCAGATATGGATTGACACCTGTCCTCAGAGCCCCTGATACACACTGACACAGA